GTTTCATCTAAAGACTAATAATGACGGGAAACTTATCAAACGCTTGACGAGTGCCTATCCAACTTTCTATTCCACTACTGTTGATCTTTCATATGGGAAGAGTTTTGAAAACTTCTCATGAAGGCATGCTGCATAACATGCGTATCGGCGACTGTTCTCAAAGCGCTTTCTGATTGATTAAATGTGGAAACCAGATGGGATCACAGTGTGACGCGTAGGCTACTGCATCGCCGTGATCATCCGTACCCATTCTGGCATGCGCTTTCAATGAATAGTCTCCATACTTTAAACAGTTTAGATAGATAGAGTGGCAAGACGTTGTCAAGAACATCTAGCAAATTATAGTCGATGCACGGATAAGGTATTGCAAAGCTGTGCGGCAAGCGTTGGCGCGGCAGATTTGCACTGGAGCAGATGCAGCATTTGATTGAATATCGATGCGCTTTTGGCGCCAGCCTGGCAGTATGTTAATCCGTGCAATCATCTATACCTTTCAGGTACTCCCAGTCCCTTCGTTTCTTGGCATTCTGAAAATGGTTTGGTCATATACAGTGATGAATTGGGTAAAGCTCTGCTCTACTACGCTACACACCTGGACACTGGCAAATGGGATTTGCAGTGCTTGCATCCGAGAAAAGATCAAAAGAGTCACATGTAAGGCTAAAGCAATCAGTAAATTACGGCAAAAGGTGCTCGAGCGAGTGAAGTCAACGAAGTCGCACCATTCTGCATCGTCGGTAGTGCCTATGCTGCTAAGTGATGTGCATCTTAGCCCTAGGAAATTCTGCAAATCCTGAAGCTCGTTCACAGCCTGTCTTTCTCGCCACCTGCTTGAGGAAGAACTGTATCCATTGATGAAACTCTTGAATGTGCACATTTGGATTAGACAATGAAAAGACTTGAAGATCTCACCGTTGAGACGGAGGAATCGGTGAAACCGTGTCGGGGACAAAACCGACGTTTCCTCTCGGACGTAACCCACTGCACCACTGAAGGAGAAATGCTGCTTCCGGGACCACTTCCGCTAGTACGGGAACTTGTTGTTCGTTTGGGATTGTACGGCCTGCGGCGAGCGAAACGTGTTGACGATGAGTCGCTTGTTGTTTCGGAGTCGTAAACGTTGTTCTCATGCGTCAATGATTCTGAAGACGAGAAACGCGAGCAGGTGAGAGAAGGTGCTGGAAAAAAAACTGTTTGGTAATTGTGATGAGTAATAATTCCTAATTTTGAGTACCATTCCATAATCTCTAACCAAAAATCTAGAGACAATGGATGTTGAGGAGGCTTCGTCGAGGGAGGTTGGTTGACACTCTGATCACGGATATCATATTCATTTCGCATGAGAGTGCGTCACTATGGCTGCGGTAGGTGTACCATGGGGGTCGAAATCAAATTTGCGAGACTTCTTTAGGGATG